ATGTCCTCGACAACTTTCTCGCATTCATGGACGCGTGATTCGGCCGCTGGAGAGAGAAAAGAGAGAGAGAGAGAGAGAGAGAGAGAGAGAGAGAGAGAGAGAGAGAGAGAGAGAGAGAGAGACAGGGAGGCCGAGTGGGCAGCAACGCGAAAGGCGGCCTTGCCCGTCCAATCGCCAGGCATTGCTTCGAGCACCGTCGACGTGACGCGAGCTGCCACTCGGGGGGGCCTGCAAGACAGCTGCCTGGATCACGCGCGGGGCTCTTGCGCGCGACCCGCGCGGGTGCCTGGCGGGAGACTGGGATGGGGCAGCTGGTTCGCGATGGCGTGAAGAGGTCAATTCGGAGCAACCCAGGAGTCGACAATTGCTGTTGCGTTTGCACCCGCAGTCGCCGCTCGATCAGTCGCGTTGTTAACCGCGCGGTCATTCGCGTTCCTGTTGATACTTCACCCAGTCGAGTCGGGGTCGTCGGGCCAGCGAACACTCCGGGGCAATGTGCGACGGGCACTCGCCAGCAGAGCAGATGGCTCGAGGGCTCGCCAATCTTAGACTCAGACTGAGCAGCCACAGCTGCTTCGTCCGATCCAAAATCGCCCACGTGGAGTTGCAGCTGCACCTTGATTTCCTTCACAATGCCTGCGAGTGCTTGGCTTTCAGCACGCGTTGCTCGCGCGGCGCGGCAGCTTCGCCCTGGCCAGGCAGCGGGGCCCAACTAGCCTGGCGCACCGTGCCAGGGGGGCACACGCACTCTCGGCCGTCTCCATGCCTGAGCGACGTCACGATCTGGAACGCCGCCCCGGGCGCTGACGGACTATGGACCCCGTGCGACCCCCAGCCTGCAGAGCATCACGGCGACCAGTCCCACGCCCACAGCTGGGGACGCGACGGCGGCGAAAGCAATGTCAAACTTGCAGAGCCCCACGGCCGCACATGGCACGCCGTTGCGCACACATGCCACTACTATTTCGTGGACGCGGTCGCGGACGCGACTGACATTGGCCCCGGCATGAGCGCGTCGAGGAAGCATTAGGACCCAGAACAATCGAATTACACATGCACCGTGCGAACTGGACTGAGATGGGGGAATTAGGATGCATCGCGCGGGCGGCCCATCCGCGCTGCTCAAAGGCTCGTGCCCTGACAGGTCCTAGCTCAATCACGAGGGCAGGTCTAGCGCAGGACGGTTCCCCGAGGGGCCGTCGGTTCATTGAGGGCCGAGGGCGGGCCGCTGCTCAGCCTGCGTCTCCGCCTCGTCGGCGCGGGCGCGCCGTTGCGCGCTGCTGTCTGGGACTCCGCCGGGCGTCTGCACCGCCCGTTCAACGCCGTTGATCACTGCGACTAGGTGACCACTCGGCGCCGTCTGAAACAGGACGCGGACCGAACCCCCCTGGGAGGATTAGTTCGCGCCACGATGGACGCCGCGAAACTGCGCGGCGCGGCGCGGCCCTGGTCATCCGCGACGGCCACGGGCGCGCCAACCTGATGGGCGCGCTTCTCTGACCCACTGACCGACAGGGTCGCCTCGCAACTGGGCCTCGAAGTTCCTGGCCAAGGCTCGCGGCGGGCCAGGCGCCAGCGCAGCTCGGACGGACTCGATGGCCACGCTGCAGGATGGCGATCAGGTCACGGCAGAGATACTCGCCGAGGCACACGCCACATTACTTCCATACCAATACCTTGCGATTCGGCTCCCAGGTCCTCGGGCAAAGGCGGTGAATGAACGGTCGGCGGCCCAGTCATCACGAGATGGGTCATGTGCCGGCCGCGGTCACGGCGGCGACCGCGGCGCCATTCCATCTGGGCGTCGCGGGTGAATTCATGGCAGATCAAGGTGGCGAGTGACACCGCGCTCTCAAGAGCTAACGCACGCGCGACGGTCGGTCCGGCGGCCACGGTCGGCACCTCGGCAAGGCGCTGGCATCCACGGATCAGCGCCCTGAATGGCAAGGCAGCCCGCTCGAGCTGGCACTTTCGAAGCCTGGCGAGCCGCTTGAACCCGACCAGTTACGGGGCGCTGTTTGGCTGGAAATTGGGGGCCGCGAGTTGCCAAGTGAATCGAAGCTCCAGCCCGCAACTGCTTGATCGCGGCGATTTCGCGGGGCACCCGTGGAGCCTGCTCCCGCGGGCCGACGGAAATAGGACTGGACAAACTTGCCGACGCCGCCGCCGGCCCTGAGACTGCAAACGCGAAGCCAGGAAACGACTGAAGCACAGGTTGCTGAGCCCCCGGCGAAGGAGCGGCACCGTTGAACACTTGAGGCGCAGGCAGCACGGCGGGCGCGTCGGTGCAAATGTGGCCATGGACGGCGGCCAGCGACACTACTGACCAAGAGCTGGGGACGGACTCGCAGCCTTCGAAGGCCCACGGAAGCTGGCTGCATTAGAGATGGGCCGGGCCCTGACTGCGGCGTCGGAGCTGACTCGGCGCCCACGAAGGCGGCTCCAGATATGCCAGGGAGGGGCCCAGAACTCAGGGGGCCACCAAAAGGCCCCGAGTCTGCGCGGCAACTGAGAGAAACTCGGGCCACCCCCTCGGGCACCTGAGCTTCCAGAACCGGCCCGCGGACATTGAGCTCTGCAGTGGAGCTCCGAAACGCAGACGTCGTGCGTCACCACCTGCCCGTCGAAGCCTTGTGGGTTATTATCGCGGCCATTTCCTTTCCCGCTGGACCGCTATTCTTTGCATGTGCCCTTGCCTCTGTCGAGAGCGGCGTCACCTTTGTCGTCGGTCAGCTGGGCCAGGAAGCTGCACTTCTGAACCCCCTTGCATTTGAATTTACCTTGAGAACGCACGCCCATTATTCTGGATGAATCGTTTGACTTTTCTGGTGGGTGTGTTCAATCGGCGCATCCGTTGCCGTTTGCGTTGCCTCCTCTGCCAGAAGGGCTGGGCGTCGATCTGGGCCGGGGAAGAGCCCGGGAACTGTTCCAACGAATAGCCGATAGCATCTCCAACGTCTGAGCTAGCGTCGGCGCTGGTGCCACCCGCACACTCGCGGTAGGCCTGAGCTTCATCAGCGGGCTGCCACGCGGCGGCAGGCAATACTGCCCGCGGTGGCGCAGTGCTCGGCTGAGAACTGGCGGCACTCGCAGCCCAGGGGTCAAGTCCTTGCTTGTGCCAAGGGTCGGCTGGGTGAGCGCCGACTTGGTTCCTGTTGTCGCTGTCGTGCCTACGAAACCTCCGAAGGATGGGGGCGAACGGAGGGCGCTGGCGAGATTGTTGGGCGCGTGCTCCACGATGTGGCCATCTCGCCTGAACATCGTCGTGGAACGGTTGAACTCACGCCCTGTTGCTGGGCATCCGCTGCCGCAAGACTGGAGCTGCGTCACGAATTGGCTGGCAGCAGCGCCGACCGCTCGGAGGAGCAGCAAGCTGTAGCCTTCCCATGGCATTGCAGCTCCACCGTTGTGCGACGCTCGAAACCGCAGCGTGAGGAACCGCGAGAGCTAAGCGTCGCTGGCATCGTCGCGTCGCCACAGCTCGATGGCTCCCGTGTAGCTTGCAGGCACCACTCTTGACCAAGTGGTCCAAACTGGGTCGCGAGGTTCGGGACGAGGTAGGTGACGGCGTCTTCCGGCTGAGCGTTGACAAAGCCTGCTTGGGCCATCTCAATGGAGTTCATGGAACTAGTAAGTTCGCGAACAGCGCCACCGAGGCTCAAGATGATGTCGGCACACTACTGAACGGTGCCCATACCTGTGACAATTACTCTCCACGCGTGCACGTCCTGCACCGAGTGGCGGAACGGGTAGACGGACTCCCGTTCGGGCGACCAGGCAAGCGGCTGACGAGTGGCAATGCCACCTCTGCCGCCGCCTCCGCCTGGCCGTTCGGTTCCCCCAGGCATCATGCAAACGAGCCAGAACAAGACGATCACGGAGGGGATGAGGATACTGCCCAGCACTGCCAAGTTGGAAACCCTCCTGTGAAGAACTCCATGGTCGATGCTGTTGTGCAGGCGCCTTCCTGCACGGGGGCCGGGGACGATCGCCATCTCGACACTCGAGACAGTCGTGGTCGTGCCAAGGCCCTTGGTTGTAGGCAAAGGTAATGGAACAGGTACGTTAACCAGCTTGAAGCCATTCGGACTGCGCAGCGTCCTCACTAAGATGAAAGCCAGCACAACTGCGCCCAGTCCGAGCCCAAGAACTGGACAAATCATGCGGCCCAACGCAAGAGACTGCGTTCCGCCACCAGTGCCGGGAAAATGTGGTTGTGGTGAGGGAGACGAAGCATCGCAAGCCCTCGTTGGTTGGAACCTCCCTACACTTGGCCTTCTGTCTCCCATGTGACGGTGCACACACAAGGGCACTTGCGCTCTGGCGTTTGCCTCCTCGCGCCTGTGGATGCGTTGGGCGACGTCCCAGATAGGGTGCTGAACAGCCAAAGTACAAGCTGTTCAGGGAATGGAGGGTGGTACCGATGGGGAGGGGTGAGGGAAGCACGGATTGGCGTCCACACTGGACTCTGCGCAGCTTCGGCGGATCGCAAGCGGGGATCGCTCCTATCTCCGCTGCCAACTAGAAATTTGGGGGTTCGAACGGATGAGACAGTTGGCATGGCGGCAATGTGATGTGGGGGGCCCTGTACCCTCGATCAAAGAATGGTGTCGCCCTGACGCTTGAGCCCAGACGGCAACCAGGCATCCGATTCGAGTGAGGAGGAACAGAAGAAGGAGGAGACAGAGAAGGGAACATTGGAAAGAGGCGGGAGGAGAAGGAACAGAACTCTGTTCAGACTGAAGACCCAATACAGGAGGGTCGGGAAAACGAGTGAAGGGCACCGACATCGGCGTGCTGCTCCAACCCTGGGAACCGATTCTTCCGGCACTCCAGGTCCTGGGGAGACCAACAGGTATACCGATACCACTACTTCCCGGACCTCTCCCGGGGTGCGCTGTGACCAGAATTCCCAGTTGAACCCGGCGGTGGCGACGAGGGCCTCCCAGAGGAGGACCTGGCAAGCGGAAAACGGGCGGGGGGGGGAGGTGTACGGGTACCTTCTCCTCCTCCGCGGTCCAGATCTCTCGAGCAGAAGGTCGTGGTGAACTTCCGCCGCACCCCTCGGGGGGCACGCCAAGAACCGGCCCTAGCGCCCACCCGTCGGCCGGCCAGGGCCGTGCCGCGCGAAAGCCCGGGGCCGGCCGCGAAGCAGCTCCCCCAGAGACCCGGGCTTCTTCTTCTTCTTCTTCTTCTTCTTCTTCTTCTTCTTCTTTTTCTTCTTCTTCTTATTATTCTTCTTCTCTTCTTCTTCTTCTTCTTCTTCTTCTTCTTCTTCTTCTTCTTCTTATTCTTCTTATTATTCTTCTTCTTCTTCTTCGAGGGGCGTGCCCAAGAGGGAAACTACCGCGCGCGCGGGCACCGTCGAGGGTGCTGCGGGTGTGGCGCCGGAGCGCCGCTCAGCGTGGCGATCTTCGCAACATGGCAAATCTTGCTAGAGGAGGAGGACGTGGAGGAGGAGGAGGAGGAGGAGGAGGAGGAGGAGATGAGCTATCCGCTTGGCCCCCTCAGTCGTGGGCAAGTTAGAAGACTTGGGGCAGATCATGGCTGGCGGCACATGCGCGGCCCGGGGGTGGGGGGCACGAACGTGATGAGCAAGAAGAACCAGACATCATCGCGTCGTAAGAAAATCAGGACGGGAGCTCTTGCTTCTCTCGGCCCCGGGGGTTCTCGCCCGGCCTCGGGACCGTCAAAAAACGACTCGGGACGAGAAACCGGTCCCGGGGAAAGGGTCGAGACTTCCAGGGACGCCGTGCAGGAAAAATCTGCACGTTGCATGTCTGGGGAGGCGCCATGAGATCTGGGGAGATCTCATGGCCCCCGCGATGACATCCCCCCCCAAGTCATCACCACCCTCTGGGCCGCCCCAGGCCCGGGTCCGCGGAGGGCTTCGGGCCCCCCGAACCGGGCCGACCGAAGGGCACTGGCTGACCCCCGTCAGCAGAGGCCTCCTAGATGGGGTCCGAGTGGATGGGGTCGAAAGATCGCGCCGCATCGCCGATGCATCGGCGATACATCGCCGACACATCGGCGCTGCATCGGCGATGTCGGCGAGGCATCGGCGCCATCGGAGCGGAGAAAATCAAGCCCCACATCGCGCGATCCTCCAACCCCGTCTACTCCGACCCCACTTAGGAGGCCTAGAGTTAGCGCCACGCCTGAGATCCGACGTCGCGACAAAGACACAACAGACAGCACCGCAAAAGATCGCGACCGCAGCACTGGGCCCCATCCTTGGCGCGCTTCTCAGGCCAGACTCGTCCGCGAGAGCCCCGAAGGCCCGAGAGACCCGGCAAGGACGCCCGGCGTGAACACCACGCCCGGACCCAAGATGCGACACCCGGACCTTGTCAGCTCGGTGTGCGCGGAAGTCCCGACCGTTTCCCCAGGGCTGGCTCCGCCTCCCAGGTCGCCCTCTGACGGCCACAGGGGCCCGGCGGAGGAGGGAGGAGGGAGGAGGGAGGAGGGAGGAGGGAGGAGGGAGGAGGGAAGAGGGAGGAGGGAGGAGGAGGAGGAGGAGGAGGAGGAGGAGGAGGAGGACGCCCACGGGCCGAAAACTGCCAACAAAAATCCTCCCGCCGCGCCGCTGCCCACGACGTCCGCACGACGGGGGATCTCCGGTCCCTGCGCCCCCGGGCGCCGTCGATGATCTCCACGGGCCCCGGCTCGAATCTGTGCAGGACGTGGCGCCGCCGCAGCATCTCCCGGCTGGAGGTCGCCGACAGCAGGAGCGCCACGCACAGCTCGGGGTCCTCGCGGCGCATCCGCAGGAACTGCTCGGGCGTGAGGTCAGAAGACCCAAGAAGAGCGCGCGGTGCGGCTGGGACGGCATCGGCGGCGAGCCCAGGGGTGGGGCCAGAGGGGGGAGGGCCTTCTCAGGAGGCTCAGAGGGCACCCAGCGTTCTCATAACTGTATACACGTCGTTCATTTCTGATCGTGCTCAGCTCTGATTGTGCTCGCTTCTAACTGTTCCTGGCCCCCTAGTGGCCAGGAAGAGGCCCAGGATAGAACTATTAGAAATGAAAGGATCTTGGCCCCCAAAAGAATCAAAGAGCTTTCGAAGAATTAGAAATGAGCACTGTGTAGGCCTTCTCCGAAGCCGTAGCGGCTTCTCAGAAGGCCGGAAGGAGTCTCCGAAGCCCCGCCGCCTCCTGCACGGCGGCCCGCCTCTTCTCGCTGGACCCCTGGGCGCGCTGCAGAGACAAGGCTGCGAAGCAGGGACGCAAGGCCATCCGACGCCCGAATCCAAGCGGAAATTGGAAGCCCATGGCCCACGGTCCAGGGCCAGGATCGTGGAACTTCGATCGTGGATCGGCCATGGACATCACCGCCGCCCTTATTAGATAAGGACCCCTCCCGGGTCTGAAGCCTCCTGGGCACGTTCCTTAACCAACGCCACCGTAGGCCTCCTCCGGAGCCATAGCGGTTTCGCAGAAGGCCGGAAGGAGTCTCCGAAGCCCCGCCGCCTCCCAAGGCGGCCTGCCTCTTCTCGCTGGACCCCCAGGCGCGCTGCCGACACAAGGACGCGAAGCAAGGACGCAAGGCCCTTCGACGCCCGAATTAGAAGCCTCCTAGATGGGGTCGGAGTAGATGGGGTCGAAGGATCGCGCCACATTGCCAATGCATCGCCAATGCATCGCCAATGTATCGGCGATGCATCGGCGACGTCGGCGATGCATCGGCGACGTCGGCGTGGGGAAAGACGGGCTCTACATCGAGCCGCATCGTCGATGCATCGGCGATGCGGCGCTATCCTCCGACCCCATGTACTCGAACCCCACCTAGGAAGCCTACAAGCGGAAATTGGAAGCCCATGGCCCACGGTCAAAGGCTGGGGTGCGCCGAGAGGCACAGATGCATGGGCACCCTTGGAAATGCACTCATCCTTCTGATTCGTGGCGTGCCGAATCGTGGCTTGGTTTCCGACGCCGCGTGGATCGCTCTGCCGCAAGAAATCGCGGCCTTCCGACAGCGTAGGTCGGTCGGCATCGGCGGACTCCGGGCCCCTGGCGGCGTTCAACCCTGAACGCCCGCGTCGGGATCGCCGCCGCGCCGGCACGACACCCACCCGCCGGAAGCAAAAAGCACCAGACGTCCGCACGCGCTGGGGTCGGCGCTGGACCCCTCTCCCTACACCGCCGGCTGCGCCTCTGGCGCAACCCCCAGCGCGCTGGGCGCTACGGGACGAGGCTGCGTGGGGTGGGGGGGCGAGCGCCGACCAAGACATCGGAGAGGGGCCAAGGGCAGGGTGGCTACGGTCGGGAACGTCTGCACAGCCTGTCGCGGCGGCGGCCCCGGCGGCACGCTGTGCCCTCCGAGCGGCGGGAGAGCGCGAGACCTGGACGCCTGGGCGGCGGACAGTGGATGGCGTGTCGCACCTGAGCGCGGTGGGCCAGAGCCAGCGGAGCGAGCTATCCCAAAAAATCCGACCCTGGGGCATCATGGCCCAGGGCATGGGTGCGGACGCCCCGGCAGGCATCCGCGCGGACCTCCGGCGGCTCGTGCGCACGCAGCTGTTGGGCATTCTGGAGGTGCAGGAGCGACCCACGCACCTTGCACTCGACGGAAGTGTACGCATCCATGGTGCCCAGGCCGTCGCCGCAGAACATGTCCACCCCCTCCACGAAGCCAGCCGTCAGCTTCCGATGCAGGTACGCCTTCCTCGGGGAAATCAAGCAGCAATAACATGTTCGAGGATACGCGAAGATTTCTTGGCCGGGCGCGCGGAGCGCGACAGGGACGGCGCCGCAGAAGCCGCCAGGAAGCCCAGCGCCGATCCAATAAACCCGCACGGATTTCCAAAATTCATGTTATCCAAATCGGCTTGCCCATAAGAGTCCTAGTTCAACCCCCCGTCGGCATTACCCCCATACACGCGCCCTCTGTTGCGCATGGTTTCCGCTGTTGGGCACGGTTGCCTCTGCTATCCGCATGGCTTCCCAGATTGCCCTTGCACGCGCCATCTGTTGCGCATGATTTCCTCTGCTGCGCCTGGTTTCCTCTGCTAGCGTCCTTTATTGCGCATGGCTTCCTCTGTTGCGCATGGATTCCTCTGGTATCCAAACGCCGCCCTCTTTATCCGCACGGCTCCCCTTCTACCCGCACGGCGTATATGAATCCGCATGGCACCCTCTGCTATTCCAATGGCTTCCTGTGGATATTACCATGGCGCCACACATCTGTCCCACGATAGTCAAGCTCAAAAGTCGTGTAGAATAGAGTAGACCAGAGAAGGTCAGGGAGGAGCAGAGAAGAAAAGACATGACGGGCAGACGCAAAAGGTGAAGCGTAAGAAACTAAAGTGGATGTGGGAAGAGTACTGCAAAATAGACTAGAGTAGAATAGCATACAGCGGAAGTAGACTAGAGTAGGATAGAGTTGAGTAGCGTAGAATAGAATGGAGCAGGGCCGAGTCGAGCAGAGCCAAGTAGAATAAGGCAGAGTGGAATAGAGTATATTAGACTAGAGTAGAGTACGGTCGGGCTGAATATAATATAGTAGAATAAAAACGTAAGTATGAGTATGAGTAGAGGTGCAAATAAGGGTGTCAGTAGAAGTAGAAGTAGTAGTAAAAGAAGTAATATAAATTTACGCAAAGATAAAAGAAACGCAGAGCCAGAGTAGAGTAGAATAGGAGTCTAATGTAATAGAGTAGACTTGAATAGAATCGAGAAAAATAGGATCGAGTAGAGTAGAATAGAGCAGAGAAGAAGAGAGTAGAGTATAAGACAATAGAGAAGGGCTGGGTATGGCAGGGTAGGGTAGGGTAGAGCAGGGTTGGGCAGAATAGAACAGAATTGTGAAGAGTACGGTAGATGGTAGAGCAGAACCACGTAGAGTAGAGCAAACGGAAACCCAACAGACTACAAACAAATAGTGTGCAACAGAATATGGTATAATGAAGTAGATGAAAACACTAAAAAGGAGAGCGTGGCCGGACTGGCATAGAGTTGGATAGGAGGAGGGGCGTAAAGTCGAGTAGTGTGTAAAACCGTTGTT